AAAAAAAAAAAAAAAAAAGGCAAGATGACTCGTCAGAAAGTGAAGTTGGCCTTCATCAGCAACGACTCGGCCCGTAAGGCGACATTCAAGAAACGTAAGAAGGGGCTAATGAAGAAGGCCAGTGAGCTAAGCACACTGTGTGGGATCGAGGCCTGCGCAATCGTGTACAGCCCATACGAGGCCCAGCCTGACGTTTGGCCGGACGGGCATTTGGCCCAACGCGTGCTGGCCCACTTCAAGCGCATGCCTGAGATGGAGCAGAACAAGAAGATGGTGAACCAGGAGATTTTCCTCCGGCAGCGCGCTGACCGGGCGGCTGACCACCTCAAGAAGCTGCGCAAGGAAAATCGAGAAAAGGAGATGACGAACCTCATGTATGAGTGCCTTACGGGCCGTGGGGTCCATGGGCTTGCCACGTCAGATTTGAATGATGTGGCGTGGCTGCTCGACCGTAATCTCAAGGAGATCTACAGCAGAATTGAGGCACTCGGTAAGGAGAAACATGCGGACGTGCCAGCTCAGCAGCAGCCGTGGTTTTCGGAGCTCAATAATGTGTGGTCCAATGTGTTCTTCCCCTGAATTTTTTTTTATTTTTTTATTTTTTTTATTTATTTTTTTTTTTTTGGTGGGGGACTGATTTTCTTGCTTTGTTTGGTGAATTTGGAATGTTTTTATGTTGAATGCTGTAGTTACCCTTTAATTTAGATGAACAATTCAGTTCATACATTACCTTACCCTAAAGGGAAATGCTATGGTTCCGTTACGGTTAAAATAACTGTTGAATCCACGTGTAGTTAAATAAGATAGATGATCTAACGGTTAAAATACCCGACGGGATGGTACCGCAACGAGACCGTAACATTTCCCTACACTAAAAACATCAACAACGATTGGTTGTTGAACAAAATCAATTATATATATCATTTGATTTAGTTGAACAATGAAGTACTCGGCATCACTCTTCATGCACTGCACTATATTTACATCAACATTTGGCCGAACAATGTATTACCATTTAGTGATTAATAATCAACAATATCATTTGCACGTTTTGTTCATCATTTAAGCACATTTCATTTAATTGTGGGGGGGCCAAGATTGCACTTTGTGAATAATAAAAAAGATGGCAAAATCAGAAAGCAATTGGAAGTATTTAATTGATTTAAAAATGATTTTACATGCATTGAACACAATGGATGGAACAACCATGTTTATAGTGTTAAATGATTTGGCATTTAAGTGTACATGAATGTAATTTTGAGTGTGTTTACCAATTAAATATATATATATATATACAAAAATTCTGTGGAGATCCATATATAACTTTTTATTGTACGACACATGTCAAATGTGTATTTATTGCAAGACACATGCCAATATATCATTTGTGAATGATTGTGGACTAGTACAACACCCCTGTATTACACGGGTGCTTGTTAAAAAATTATTCTTAAATTTTAAAATTAATGAGAGAAATTATTTTAATTTTATTTACTTTTTTCACAAAAAATTAATATTATTACATATTTTAGAATGACACTTGTTACTTGTGCGACTTACATGTGTTATATTATAGTAACTTTTATTACTTATATTGACCGCGCGTCGCAATGCGACAAAATTAAAATTTATATTTTCCTTAACCAACCTCTGCTAACTAGTAGTAGTGTCAAGTAAGGGTCGAACCCACAGGGAGTGTGAATCAAATTGTGGCTTTTTCGTATTAATTGAATTAAGAAAGCAATAAAAAGAG